CTCTAGGCCATTAAAGGCCACAAAACCCAATGGTTAAATGGTGGGAGTCATTATGGACAAAGAGTCGACATGTGGTGAGTATCAAGTTAAGGTTAGGAAATTTTGTTTCTCAGAAATTATTTTGGTCATTACCCAAGGTTGTGCATTTGATAAATACTTTTTCTGTCATGGATGGTGGTTGATAGATGCATGACATGACCTTATCAGTTTCCTACTTGGTTTAGTTGAGATTTTCCTGATGTTTGTTGAGAGTCATCTACTTGGTGTAGTGGTGAAGTCTTACTTGTTGTAGTGGGAAAGTTTTGTTCCTTTCCCTTCTTGAGGGATCAAGAAAGATTTCTCCTCGCTCAATCGACAATTGTGATCACTGGGTTATTGTTGATAAATCGGTCTAGGATCTACCTAATCTTTGCTCCCAATTTTGCAAGATATGCCTCGATTGCCATCAAGTCTAAGCTGATAATTCAACTTTAACTATGGAACCGACTAATGAACCAGTGGTCGTTCAAATCTCTTCAAGGGATCCAGCATGTAATTTGGGAGATAAAGGGGTTCAATTGTTTGATCTCATAACTTCTATATTTATAATGTAGTGCAACTTCCTAAGTCCCTTGTTCCGAAGATTCTTTTTAACCGAATCTTCAATTTGAAACAGACCCTGGATGATGACCTGGTGACTAGTGAGCATGATATCATAAACACAGAATAGTGGCACTGTTGTCGTTTGCCTCTTAACAAATATGAGCCACCAAGAAAAGAGGCAGACCACATAAAATATAATAGACTGATGAAAAATCATGGAAGCCTATGAGTGTAGGATAACATTTAACTAATAGTGAGATGCAGAAAAGACTATAGAATTAACTTCAGAAATTCATCAATCATCAGGCCAAAAGAGAATGCAGTTTTGGTATAATTATAGATCGGGTTGTAAACAAGTGGGTGGGAGAGTTTTCTCCAAGTAATAGAGAAAAGTGTCCACTTCTGATTTTTCATCACAGAGAAATCTTTTGATGAGAAGAGAATCCTGTTTTCAAACTATATGCTATACAATGCTTATGATTCTTAACAATATTGAAAAGCAAACAACTAGGAAAACAATGTATGAGAAGATAAATACAATGGCAAAACATAGACATCAAACCATGTTGATGTTGATGATAATAGTTCTAAGGAATAGATTCAATAGGGTTTCTAGAAGACTATCAGCCTCACATGATCTTTGTTTGCAAATAGTGAATGTCAACAAATCAATGTTCAGTTCTGAAGGAAGTTACTAAATGTTAAGCCCACACAAATGACAGGACCAGAAATGACGGTGTTTCCAACAAATTGAGACTTCAGGTTGCTAAGATCCTCATTGTTATGTAATAGTTGCTGGCATATCCAGGACAGATCATTACCATTGTTTCTTATTCCTAGACAAGAAATGAATAGAGGAATCTTCATGATTGTAATTTCCAGAGTATTTTCCCCACAAAACATGAGAATAGCTCAAAATTTAACTAGAGGTGCTATTCTTTGTTGCATGAACGATTAGTAGTGACAGGTGTTTCACAGGTACATCAGGGTAAAACATAAAGTGAAATTTAACATGTAACCATTAATCCTGGCCAAGTAGAATCAGAAGGTGCACATGAACAACAAGAATATGGAAGTAAAGGTTCCACATGCCTTTCAATGAGTGATTTAAAACAACAAATTTCCAAAATGCCCCCTGAATATATTTACATTTACAGAAGGCCCAGAGGTTAGAGATAGTACAGCAAACAAAAGAAAATGGGCCACAGGAGTCCCAGTATATATATACTGAGCAAAAAAGCAAAAGACTTTCTATGCATCTTAAGTAGATTAAGACGGATGGACATGAAACACATTTTTTGTCTAATACATACAATACTTGTGATTTAAGTGGCCCAATGAGGAAAAAAAATTGATTATAACTTTTACACATCAAAGAAATGTATATGCCAGGCTTCTTAAGAACAAAAAAAGTAAGTAGCATCTCCTTGATTAGATATAGAACCAAACCTGATCCTCATATTTCTCTCCAAACATTGCAATAGCGCCAGCATTTTTTGCATCTTGAAGAGCCATCACTTTTGTCTGGAGATGTGCCGCATCCCCAATCCATCTATTGACAAGTACTTCAACTTCCATGATCTCATGATCAGAGAGTGGCCGGTGGAAGTTGAAGTCAAACCGAAGTCGATCAAAATCAACTAACGATCCTGCTTGTGATGTATCTGGTCCTATAACGTTCTTCAAAGCAGCTTGTAGCAAATGTGTAGCTGTATGGTGAACCTATGAAATGTAGAACAGTTCACATATAGTGCTACCAAATAAAAAGAAAATCCATAAACAAATACAAGGACGAGCAGAAGGATGAAAGACTCACAAACAGAAGTAACTAAGGTGTGAAACTAAAGAAACATTTGATTTCCAGAAAGATTGCATTTTGGGGCAATTTAAAAATTGTCACGAATAATTTGACCTTGATGGGTGTTTAATTTTCAGATTTGAATTTGATTCCCAATTGCAAGTGAGCTCCTAAGTTGAATTTTGTTGCAAAAAAAACTCCAAGTCGTTTTGGAAAAGACAATACTCTCTCTCTCTCTCTCTCTCTCTCTCTCTCTCTCTCTCTCTCTCTCTCAACAAAGGAAAAAACAAAAAAACAAAAAATGGAAACCACCACAACACTGCCTCCATAACCACCACCACAGCCCCATCACCACCACCACCACCATCACTCTGCCACCACATCCACTCACTACCAATAGCACCACATTGCCTCCACCACCACCACCGCAGTGGTAATTAAAATTGCAATAATTGAATGTCCCTTAACAGCAAATGATAATCGACCAAATTGCCATTTGGTTAATCACAATTTGAGAAAAGGAGACAATTTGACAAATTTTGAAAATCAAACAATGCCCAAGTGTGAAAGGTGTGGCTATGTAAATTTCTCTCTTTTCCTTAATAAATCACTAAAACTCCAACTTATAATTGCCACATTATAATGCAGAAATGAACCTACTACAATCTAGGATCTTTAATTCTTACTGTCAAAATAGAACTTTGTTCAAAAATTGAATTCAAACTTACAATAAGGATTATAATACAATAAGGAATTCTAATCTATGAAGAACTCCTAGTCCAAGTAGGACTACTAACACAAATATGAATCAAGAACTGAAATAAAACTGATGAATAGACTTATTGAACCTTTGACTTAGGGTTACCCCCTTAGAGCTTAGCACAACCCACACATGATTACTGAACTAATGGCACACTTGATCCTTAGGTCGAGCTGCATCCACTGAACTCGGAAACAACTGTTGAATACTCTCTAACTGATCTATGGGGCTAAGAGCATGGGCTACTATAACTGTTTCTTTCGACCCTTTTAAACTTTTGGGGCATGTCACCATGTGGCACCTGCCCTTTACCAAGATGGGCTGCGTGTGCCCGCCCCCTCTCTATGCCCTAGGTGGTGCGTGGCACCCCTATGTCTCAATAGGGGGCATGCCACCTAGAGAGGGGGGAGAGAGAGAGAGAGAGAGAGAGAGAGAGAGAGAGAGAGAGGTAGGAGGAGAGAGAGAGAGAGAGAGGAGGTAGGAGGA